CAGGTATTTTTCTTGATGATGTAGAAAATTCCACTTGCCCGAGTAATTTTGGATAATTTTAAGGTTCTAAAGATTTGAATGAATAAATGTAGGATTTGAAATATTTTAATGGTTTTGATAGAAGTCTTTCTAAAAATGTGTTACCTCTATACCCTGGTTTAGTTAAATAAACACATTACTGAACTTATTTTAATTCACATAAGATGAACTAGATCATCTGCGTGAACATTTTGGGTACTATATATTTTATTATACTGTATTTCCTCCAAAGCCCATTGTCACTGTAAGATGCATCATTTGAACTTAATCATTTTGACCATGGTGAGACTTAACTTTTAGGGCTACTGCCAGCCAGTTACAGCTCCTTTCACACTGTATATTATCCTTGAATATGTAGTATTTCTCATCCCTGCTACTTAATTATCAGAAACATACCTCAGTGTTTTGTAGATTTGTTACTATTCTACATAGGCAGGATTGTTTGAGTAATGCATATATGTTTTTAAGTACATGGTCTAGACTGCAGAGAACTTAGCAGCAGCTGTGCTGTGGAGGAAGTGCTCAACTGGGCTTCCTTCTAGGAGAGTTGTTATTAGTATCTATGAGTCCTAACGGGGAAACCCATGTACTAGCTGTACCAGAGATCATACTTTTTCCTATTCCAAGCTTTTTGGATTTTTCCAATGAATTTTACACTGCTCAGCAGGTGTCCTTGTCAACTTTGTGATGGTATATTTTATTCTACTCCATTTCCTATATTGTTATTTACATCCCCATGGCTACTCTGTAAGTACCTATTTGTACTTCTTAATCCCCTCATTTGCCTACATTCCCCTCCCATATGGCAACTATCAAAACGCTCTCTGTATCTATGATTCTCTCTCTGTTCTTCCTGTTTGCTTAGTTTGTTTTTTAGATTCCATTGTTGATAGAAATGTATTTATTGCCATTTTATTGTTCATAGTTTTATTGTTCATGATGTTCTTTTTCTTAAATAAGTCTCTAACATTTCATATAATAGTGCCTTGGTGATGATGAACTTCTTTAGTTGTTTTCTTGTCTGGGAAGCTCTTCATCTGCCCTTCAATTCTAACTGATAGCTTTTCTGAGTAGACCAGTCTTGGTTGTAGGTTCTTGCATTTCATCCCTTTCAATATTTCTTGCCAGTCCCTTCTAGCCTGCAAAAATTCTTTTAGAAATCAACTGACAGTCTTATGGGAACACCCCTGTAGGTAACTCAATGCTTGTTTTCTTGCTGCTTTTAAGATTCTCTTATCTTTCACCTTTGGTATTCTAATTATGATGTGTGTTAGAGTGGACCCCTTTGCATCCATCTTGTTTGGGACTTTCTGTGGTTCTTGTACTTGCATATGTATTTCCTTCACCAAACTAGGGAAGTTTTCTTTCATTATTTTTTTTCAAATAGATTTCCAATTTCTTGCTCTTTCTCTTCTCCTTCTGGTCCCCCTAGGATGTGAATGTTGGAATACTTGAAGTTGTCCCAGAGGCTGTTTACACTATCCTCATTTTCTTGGATTCTTTTTTTCTACTTGTTTGTCTGATGGGTTGTTTTTTGCTTCCTTATGTTCCAAGTCAATGATCTGACTCTCAGCTTCATCCACTCTACTGTTGTTTTCCTGCAAATTATTCTTTATTTCAATTCGCATATCCTTAATTTCTGACTGGATCTTGTTTACGCTATTGAGGTCCTCACTAAGTTCCTTGAACATCACTATAACCACTGTTTTGAACTCTGCATCTGACAGATTGTTTATGTCCATTTTGTTTAGTTGCTTTTTTTTCTGCAGTTTTGATCTATTCTTTCATTTGGGTCATGTTTCTTTATCTGCTCATTTTGGCAGCTTCCCTTTGTTTCTGTGTATTAGGTAGAGCTTCTTTGACTCTGTGTCTTGGTGGCGGGGCCTAATGTAATAAGTGTCCCGGTAGGTTCCAGTGGCACAGCCTCCTCCATCACCCAAGCTGGGTACTTGAGGTGCACCCTTTGTGTGATCTGAATACATGCTCCTGTTGTAGTTGAGCATTGGTTGCTATTGGCAGATCAATGGGAGGGATTTAGCCAGGCCAGTCAGGTGCAAGGACTGACTGTGACCACTGTTCATCAACCTCCACTCCCTGTGGAGGAACAGTTGTGCAGAGGCAGGGTGGTGGTGCTCCAGCATGGTCTGTAGCCATCCACTGGGTGCACTAGCCCTGGACTTTCCTGGGTGGTGCAGGCCCAGGTCAGCCTCGGCCTGTGTTTTGGCCAGGGCCACCCTGCATGAGCTATAAAGCAATCTGAGACAGCTGCTACTTGTTCTGGGATTGGAGATTCCCAGGGGAAGCCAAGCTGTGCGTGTAGGGTGGCTGCTGCTAGTGCTGTGCATGGGGCCATTTAACAAGAGGTATGGTGGCTGGGGGCTCACAGAGGCCAGCTGTTGCTAGTTTAAAAGGATTTAGGAAGTTGTGAAGCATGAGCCAAGACCAGTCATTCATATCGAAAAGCACTGTTAACAGCTGTCAGTTGGGTGGGATGGAGCCTCAGGGGATGTAACAGGGCAAATAGTGTTAGTCAGGTTGATGGATTCTCACATATAGCACCCACCTGCCAGCTCTGTGGCTCGGTTGGGGGAGGGTTCAGAAAAGGGACAGTGGCCTCTGCCTGCCTTTCTGTCTGGGAGAAAGCTGGACCCCAGCTGTCATCTTGATGCCAGACACTTTAGTTTCTTCCCCTATGCCAGTGGTGCCTTTCAAGCTACTACCCCAGTGCTGGAGCTCAGAGGGACTGAGTCTGGGTAAGTCCGTATGTGGTTCCTTTAAGAGGAACTGCTTGAGTCTCCGGAAGTTTCTTCCACTGACTCAATCCCTGATGGTTTTTGAAGCAAGGAGTTATGGGCACTTACTTTCTTGGCACTGGAACCCTGGGCCAGGGGCCCTGTTGTGTGGCTGGGACTGTACTCCCAAGATATCTTTTATCCACCACATGGGGGCTTAAGACCAGCTCCTCCTACCAGTCTGGTTGAATGTGGTTTCTTTAATTCCAAATTTGTCAGACTTCCATTCAACTTGATTTCTGATGGTTCTGAGTGTGGTGATTGTTCTATAATTTAATTGTAATTTTGATGTGGTTGTGCAAGGAGACAAGCCATGTTTACTATGCTGATACTGTGACTGGAAATCCCCAAAATCATCGTAAGCAGATCAGTGTAGGAAAAATAACACAAAGGAGTTTGTAAGTCAGTAGATACCCTACAAAGCTAGGCATTCTTTTGTACTTTTTGAAAAGTATTTCTGTACATCCAGGGGTACATATTACCCCAGTTTGAAGATCACTGTATTTAAGATTTACTTTACCAACTAGAGGAAATAAGCCATAAAAATGGAAGAAATTGAATCCAGAAAACAAGCAAGTGAAAACATATATTCCAGTTTATGCATACTGTTCTTTTAATGATTTTGCAGGTGAGAGGTGAGGTGTTGCCTCACTTATATCCCACCTGTAATGAGTGAGTAGGAGAATTATTAGGGAATTATATTTTTGTTACTTCTTTTGGGGGCTAAGACATTTGCCACTTGATAGCATGTTAGGAAAGGATTTAATGCTACGGAATTATCTCTGGCTCGGCACCTATTTCAGTGACATGCTATAGTGATAGGCCAGGGCTCGCTGAGACTCCTTTTAGTCAAAATATAGGGGCAGGCAAAAATAAGTTTACAGTTAATGAACATACAAAAGAGTTTATTCTGGCAATATTGGGTTGTCCAAAAAGTGTTTAGTTTTTTCTGTAAAGTAAACAACACATTTTTCTTTTTCAACAATAACTTTATTGATTTGGATATTTTGAGTACATCGGCTGTCTCCCTCTGATGGCTTCCAGTAGGTCGAGGCTGGGGGTGCTGCAGAACATCTTCCAATGTATACGAATGTCCCACAGCGAAGGATTATTTGGCCAAAATGTCAGTAGTACCAAGAAACTTCACAAACCACTTTTGACATGTTCAATCAGTCACAGCACCTCCATGCACTGCACAAATCTTCTTTTAAAATTTCAGTTGCATTTTTACCTTTCTTGAAATAATAAAGCATAATATGCTGAAAATGCCCCAGTGCTCAGACATCTCTGTGTATTCTCATTACCTTTGTGCTTTCATTCTGTCCTGTAGCTTTGAATACTGTCCATATGCTGGTGACTCACAAAGTTTCATGTACACTACTGGCCTCTCCCCCAACCTTCAGCTTTACTTGGGTGTCAGAATAGCCTTCAGACTTAGCACATCTGAGCAGAACACTTGATCCCTGTTCCCCAGTCCCAGTCGGACCTGTGTTTTCTTGCCTAGTCTTCCTCATCTCAGTAAGAGGCATTGGCTCCACCTTATCACTCTGGTTCACAGTGGCCCCTCAAATCCTGTCAGTGAGTCACATTGGCTCTACCTTCAGAAACATGTCCTGGATCTATTTTTCACCACCTGCTGCTACCACCCTAATTAAAACCACCATCGTCTATGATCTAGACTATTCTAACTCCCTGACTAGTCTCCCTGTTGCCAGTCTATGCCTCCTACTATCTTTTTCTACATAGTACCAGAGTAAACCTTTAAAAACAGATTATATCACGTTACTTGCCCTATATACGACCCTGCAAGAGCTTCCTATTATACATAGAATGCCATCTAATACATTCCTTAACCATGGCCTTTGGGACTCTACATCATCCAGTCCCTGGCTCTCCTTCTAACTTATCTCCTTCCACTCTTCCTTTCTCATTCTTTTTTCCAATTTTTGTGATGTTCCTTTATGCTGTTTCCTCTTTAGGGCCTTTGAATATGTTGTTCCCTCTCTCACTTGATTCAGATGTCTGCTCAAATGTCAGTTTCCTGGAGAGACCTTTAACCATCTGCACATCAACTTAGGGATAAGACAGGAGTTTAGGTAAATTAATTTTGTATGTTGATGTTTGTGTTATATATGTCTAATAATATTCTTTTAATTTATATTCTAACAGAAAAGACGAGACCTCCCAAATGGTAAGCTCTTTAATAATTATTCATCAAAAAGCTCTTAGATTATAGTTTAATCCTTGTAGAAATATGTATCATACATTGTGGCTAATATTTAATATCTGATCTTATAGTACCCTTTATTATGTTCTTATTTAAAATAACAGATGATAGATGAGGCCTAGAAAATGTACCATTTGTCTTTTTTCTAGGATGAAGGAATACTATGTAGGATAAAGATTACTATTATATCTTCATTCTGTATTTATAATTAAGTTTAGAAACTGTACAATCTAGTTTTACCATCTTCCTTAAAGGGACTAAATTTTGCCTAGCATATTTGTTCATTTCTTCCTTTGGATTTATCTTTTTGTCTACTTCAAAGTGTTATTTCACTCTAGTAATGTGAAACTAGCCCCTTTCAGAATGAGTACTTACTATGATGGTATATTTAGAATTGATAATAGCTGCCCATATCCCTCTGTAACTGAGTAATGAACACTTGAAGTATTATGGATTCATTTATTTAAAAAAATTCTGTATACAGAAAGTAATATCAAGATAGGAATGACAAAGCCCCAAACCTCTGGTGCAGAGATTATCATCTCAGCTCCATAAATCTTCCCTGAAGTTGTATGCTAAATTTTGTAAGTATATATGATTTTTTTTCTCTGGGGAGAGAGAATCCGTGCCTTTGATTACATTTAAATGGGGCCCTTGACCCTATAAAGATAAAAATAACTATTATCCCAGGAGCCTTGATTACCATAGGAAATATAGCTGCTGCTTTTTAAAAGCACCTCAAATCCTCTCATCAGAATTTAGGATAATTATTCAGGGAAACACTTAACCTAGTAACAGCTCTTAATATATGACAACTGTTAGTGATTGTTGGGGTTTGTTTCTTTTAAATGGTTATATTATTTTTCTGATTTGTCCTTAAATTTCATTTCCAGTATAAAAACGTAAACCAAATATTATATTAAATTTTGGATTACTTGCCTTACCAGTTTTATTTTTAAATGTCTAACTACCTTCAGTAGTACTTACCATGTGTCAAGTATTATATACTTTGACTTTCTATTTTAAATGGAAAATTGAATACAAAGTTTTTAGGGCTGCTGTGGAAGTTAAATGAAGTTCTTAAAGTGCTTAATAAATATTAGTTATCATGATAAAGGCAATAACAATAATAATAGCAGCTACTATTTAATGATCATTGACGACTTACCAGGCACTGTCCGGAAGCATTATGAAGTAGCTCCTAATATCATCATATTATAGATGAGCAAACTAGGGCACAGACAGGTAAGGTTACCTATCTGTGCAAGGTCACCTAAGTAGTAAGTAGTGGAGCAGGATTCAGTCGCAAGAGATCTAACTCCCGAGCCTGGGCCCTTCCTTAATCACTGCTGCTCAGGATTCTGAAGGAGAAACTGAGACCTCGAGAGGGTAACTGATGTGCCTCAATTTATGCAGCTGGTATGTGGCGGAGGCAAAGGAAGCAACAGAAACAGCTGAGTCAGAAGTCATTCATTTGTGAACCTTTGAAGCAGTATTGTAATTCTTGTTCCTTGATGTGTGCTCAATATTTTAATCTCTTTTTGAGTTTATTAAATTATTTTGCATTCTTTGAGCATGTATTGAGTACCAATGGGAAAGGCTCCCTAATGGTGGCCTCTCTGGAGAAAGTAACCTGAGATTTTAAAGGGTAGATGTACAAATAATATCATTAAAGGATGCAAATACTTTGTGGTTTTTTAACTATTTAACCTTTTTAATGCATATAAAATGTATTTCTGAAGAGGTACGTAGTCCATGAGCAGATAGAATTTGGTTATTCTTTTTTATGTGACAGTGGTGTCTCAAAATTTTATTACCTCTACTAAGAGAGATACTAATAATTAATATAGCTTCTTTCTCTGATATTGGTCTTGGTTTTAAATCTTGAGATCTGTAGTTCTGACCCTTTGGTGCAGTTGTTCCAAACTTCTTTTTGTTAAATAAATAGTTACAAAAAATAGAGTCATTAAAAGGCAAAAATACATAGCATATATTGCCAATATTGTATACTTATTTAATTATAAAACATATACATAATATGTATAAAATATATACATAATATTTACTGTAATGTATTATATATACTTATATTATAATATATTATATTACAGTAAATAATGCAATAATTATTAATAGAAACTTTAATATTTATTCCTGCTGTGCAGTTGGTTGTCTTGTTCTCCAGCTGTGCATGGAGACCCCTGGTTTGGAGACAGATATTATTTTTCTGTATTTGGTACAATACCACTAGGTGGCAGTGGACACCTTAACTGCCTTGCAGTGTCCATGCATTGTCTCAGATTCTCATTTAGATTATTAGTTTGGCAGACCTTCTCAAGTTGTAACTATTAAAAAGACACTCTGTGTAGAAGTACCATATATTCCTGAAGTGCAGTTTGGGGTCTTCTTTAGTAACTCGTCATCCACACATCTTTCTTCTTTCCTTATTGGTCATTCTTACCTCTTAGCTTAGATGCTTTCCAGTAAGATTTGTTCTGAATTTCATCTGTGCTTTACATCAGAGGCCTCTGGGCCAACTGTATCAACTATTTTACCTTGGTCAGAGTTCCTGCTTTGTTTTAGTTAAGGGGAAGACTTTAGTTTGTTCTTTCAGCTTTAAAATTAACTAGAAATGCTGTTCGATGAAAATATTTTAAAAAAATATTTCTGTGACAATTGTCTATAAATTAGAAGAAGGTAATTTGCTATTTGACTTTTTTTCCCTCCAAAAAAAAGGAAGGGAAATAGCCCCCTCCATTATATATTTACTTAGTACATGTTCTTAGGATGAGTGTAATTTCATAAATGGAATAATTAATATAAACTTTATTAGAAATGCTTCAAGAATATCTCTGTGGCCACATCTTCTATAAACTTTACTTATTAAAAAGTGATTTCGCCTAATACCAGTTATCAATTTTTTTAGTGTGTCACTTCTGAAACAAATACTTAATTTAGCTTTAGATCACCATTTTAAACTTTCTAACACCTCCAAGCTCTAAACTAAATGACTACTGTCAACCAAAATAACCTGTTGAATGTGTAGAATACCTTTTTTTTTCTTTTAATTTGGAGGTTCTTGAATGATGATCTATTGGACTGCATACTGAGAGAACTGACAAAATGATAAAAAATAACAGCTAATATCTGTAGTGTTAGCATTATTAATCACTTCATGATTTGAAGTTTGTGTAGAAGGGGTAAGAGTTAATAGAAAGATTAGTGGTCAAGGAACCAAGATAGAGTTCACCTTTGTCCTTGTCATTAATTGTGTGACTTCAGACAGGTTATCTGATGATGCTTCTTGCCCTTAGTGTTCATATATAAAATGAAACATTTAGAAAAAACTGTGTAATATCCCAGCTAATAGTAATTTTCTGTACATGTCTTTAATCTGGATTTTCTTATATAGACCTAAAAATGTTTTAGCAAATACTACAGTAATCTATATGTAATGACACTAAATAGCCAATGCCAGGGCTTTATAACTGCATGGCTGATGTGTAACAGTTTAGTCATACCTGGTTTTTGGGTAGAGGAAGGAAGGGAAACAGTGTGACTGCAGTGTGAGTTAAACTTCATTATTCTACATACCACTTTTGTTTTGCCTCTGTCTTCTTCATCCTTGAATTTACTACAAGGGATGAGTGGCTGAGTTATTTTCTCTAGTGAGTTATGAATTGGACTTACAAGAACCTTTTCTTTATTATTTCCCAGAAAAGAATTTAATAGCTTGGATAATTTAAGCTGTTAAAGTTAACTTTACCCAGCTCTTACCATTTAGAACATCCATAGTATAATAGATTATTTTATATAACCTAAAGCAGCATAAAAATATTTTTATTTGCTTTTTTGTAAAAACTAATTACAATCAACTCTTAAACAACACCATTTGAATTACTCAGGTCCACTTGTGGATTTTTTTCAATAAATACATGCACTACAGTAAATGTATTTTCTCTTTTTGTTTTCTTAATACCATTTTCTTTTTCTGTAGTTTACATTATTGTGAGAATACAGTATATAATACACATAACATACAAAACACATGTTAATTGACTTTTTGAGGTAAGACTGCAGGTTAACAATAGGCTATTAGTGGAGGGAGGCAAAAGTTATGCACAAATTTTTGACTGCTCAGGGTTGGCACAGCTAACTCTTGTGTTGTTCAAGGGTCAACTGTACCATTGTTAATTTTGTTTTGTTTTAATAGTGAATCTGGTTGCTTTTTTATATGGGGTGGGAGGAAAGTAGGTTTACAGTTTGTATAAAAGTAATACAATTTAATACAAAACTAAACTGTTTTACATAGCCACACCTATAAACCTACTTTTCCTGCACCTTGTAATTGCTGTATGAACATGTAGTTCAAGAAGGGGTGGTATGTATAAAGAGAGTGCCTAACTCTTGATACTCCTGAATCTTTCTTCAGTCAATGCTTAAATCCTATTCTATTTATACTATTATCAAGTTAATAGAGAGTAAATAATCATTTGCACCATCTTAGTGTGGACAGTGTTGCTTGTACTGATTGATAAAGATAAATTATGAGAAGAAGGAAAGCAGGAAGGGGAGAATGAGAAGTAAAATCACATCACAAGATAAGTCTTTCATGGTATGGGAATGGCCCCAATTCAGCCGTCTTAACATGCGAATCTGGTTATTCTCAGTAAGTCCCCTTATTTTGTGAAATTACAGCAAACACAGAAATCTGATATCTGAACAACTTTGAAAATCCAAGTCTTTATCTGCTCTTTAATAAGCCATTTGTGTTGTGTTGTTATGTTTTGTTTTTCACTTTTTAAAAATTAAATATATTGGAGTGATATTGCTTAATAAAATTATATAGGTTTTGCCCTGGCTAATGTAGCTCAGTGGATTGAGTGCGGCCTGCGATCTGAAGGGTCACTGGTTCAATTTGAAGTCAGGGCACATGCCTGGGTGGGGGCCAAGTCCCCAGTTGGGGGTATGTGAGAGGCAACCAACTGATGTGTCTCTCGCACACTGATGTTTCTCCCCTTCTCTTTCTCCCTCCCTTCCCCTTTCTCTAGAAATAAATTAAATCTTTAAAAAGTTGTATAGATTTCAAGTGTTAATTGTATCATACATCATCTGTATAGTACATCATGTGTTTACCACTCAAAGTCACATCTCTTTGTCACCACATATTTGATCCCTTTTACTTTTTTTACCTCTGCCCCGTCCCCCGTCCCCCTGGTATCCATCATGATGTTGTCTCTGTGAGTTTTTGTTTTTCTTGTTTGTTCGTTTGTTGCTTTCAGTTTTAATTCCCGCATGTGAGTAAAATCATATGGTTTTTGACTTTTTCTGTCTGGATTTATTTCACTTAGCATACTGTTCTCAGGATCCATGCATGTTGTCACAAATGGCAGCATTTCATTTTTTCTTAAGGCCGAGAGTAAGATTCCATTGATTATATGTACCACATCTTGATCCAATCATCTGTGGAAAGACACCAGTTGTTTCCATGTCTGGGCCACTATGAATAATGCTGTAGTGAACATAGGGGCTCATATATCTTTGTTAACAAATGTATTTGGATATTCGGTTAGTTACCTAGAAGAGGGGTTGCTGGCTCATATGGTAACTCCATTCTTGGAACTTTGGGGAAAATTTCCAAACTGTTTTCAACAGAGACTGTACCATTTTGCACCCCCACCAACAGTGAGTGAGAGTTCCTTTTCCTCTCCAATCTCTGCAACCTTTGCTTATTGAACAAATAAGCAATTTGGAAGAATATGCATTTATGACACATTACTTGTCTTATTGATAGTAGCCATTTGTTGGGGGGGGTAGTTTGTTGTGCAGCAATCAATAGTCAGAATCTTTCCAGACATACTGTACCTTCTCTATCCTCAGCTTTCCTTATTATTTTTTTTTTTTTAGATTTTATTTATTTAGGGAAGGAGGGAGAGGGGGAGAGAAACACCAGTGTGTGGCTGTCTTTCGCGCACCCCTTTGGCGACCTGGCCCACGACCCAGGCATGTGCCCTAGACTGGAAATTGAACCAGGGACGCTTGGATTTACAGGCCAGCACTCAATCCACTGAGCCACACCAGCCAGGGCTGATAGTAGTAGCCATTCTGACAGTTGTGAGGTGGTATCTCATTGCAGTTTTGATTTGCATTTCCCTAATAGATAATGCAATTGAGCATCCCTTTATCTATGTGTGGGCCTTTTGTATGTCTTAGGAGAGGTGTACTTTGAAGGCAAGGGAAGTAAAAGCAAAAATAAATGAACTATATCAAACTAAAACTGCACAACAAAGGAAGCCATCCACAAAACAAAAAAGGTGGCCATCTGAGTGGAAGAAGATACTTGAAAACAATACCTCTGGATAAAGGGTTAAAGCCAGAATATATAAAGAACTCATACAATTCAACAATAACAAAATCCAATTAAATAAGTGGAGGACTTGAATAGACAATTAACCTTTAATTCTTGACCCAGTTATTTTCAGATTATTCCTTAACATCCTGAATTAGCATTTAATGATTTTACACTTATTGTGCACTAGCTTCCATTTTTTTCTAAGCAGAATTTATTTATTGCCATCCTGAGCACCTTCCTATGGAATTTTGTATAAAATTATAAGTAGAACTTCTAGATATTTGCATATTATACTTGCATGTAAGTGTACTTTGAATAGTAGGGGAAAATAGCTGAATTTTGGTGATACTAAACATACATATTTTGCCAGATTTTTAACTTGTTTGATAAGGTGTCAGATGGCTTTCAAAATTTTATTATATCTTTCCATCTGTAGCAGTAGAGAGAATAAGGGTTATATATATAATTTACCCAAGTAGGTAAATACTTTTCTTTCAGGTAATTTTAGATAACTTTGAGGTTTTGGGCACAATTGAAAAATTACAGTGAAATTGGCATTTAGTGATCACTTAATATACATTAGCCTATCATTTCTTGGGGTTTCTGTGTGCTGTTCTGTGATTGTGTTCAGGTCCCCAAGGTAACCTCCACGTTTGGTGATTTGCTAGGAAGACTCAACAGAACCTAGCATATGAGGTCTCTCCAGAAAGTGTCCAGACATTGAATATGAAAACTAGAGACATTTCTTGAAGCAGATACAAGATAGAACAGACACTGCATAGGACAGTGTTGCTTCAGTCCCCTTCAAGTAGGCACCTTAGGACCTCACACAGTTCTTGAAATTGCCATCAGCTGAATCTCTTTGAAGGTCTGAACTCTTTCCCCTTTCAAGGTGGTTTTAGTTTTAGGAAAAGCCAGAAGTCACAGGGCACCAAATCTGGCCTTTAGGGAGGCTGAGTCACCTTGATGGTTTGATGTTTCACAAAAAAATTCTGCACAAGACATGATGCATGAGTGGCATGCTGTCGTGATGAAGCTGCCAGTCACAGTACCCCATAGCTGAGGCCTTCTGAATCATCTGAATAGTTTCCGCAGAGGAGTGTTCATGCTTAAAGCAAAATTTGATGCAGGGTTAATGCTCTCTCATCATGCCATTTTGAATGCAACAGCCACACAGTATACACGCTCACTCAGTGGTGTCTGTGAACAATGACTAGTAGTACAGTAAAGTTGTCATTGTTCACCCATGCCCATTCCAGGCCTCTCTCCTTGGCTGTCAGGTTATATTAATGTTGCAGAACCATTCTCTTCCTAGTAACAATGGCTGGACTCATGGCAAATATTTATTAAAGTGAAAGGATATATAATAAAGTCAACAATGGGAAGGCACATAGGTGAACTCTGGGGGAATTCACACAAGAGTTCTCTCACCAAAGTCACAAGGGTAAACTTCACATCTCCAGTGATGAATTGTGAAAACTCATGTGAAATGTTGCCTAAAGAAGAAGGTTGTTAGAGCCTCAGTTTATGGTTTAAAGCTCAGGTGGCTAGATACATAGGTTGCTAATTACATATAGTACATACCAAGATTCTAATCTTTGAGAAGGAAAGCAGGTGTTTAGCATAAACCACATTATTACTGCAAACAGTTCAGAAACAGTGAGCCTGTCTTACCAGGGAACAATGAGAACCCTCTTGAAATCCAAATTCACAGAAAGCAACTAAAGGCCAACCTTGCAAGCAGCCCTTAGAAAGGATAGCAGTGTCAGACCTGCTGTGTTGCTGTTTTTCTGCACAGTGGTGATTGTATTTTATACAGCATTTTGAAAGCTGTCATTAGTGACCTCAGAGGACTTTGGTCTGTTTGAGGGTATTTTAGAGAATCGTGTATTGAAATGGGACCTCTAAGGAACATGTGTTCCTCCTCTTCAGGTAAGTCTATAATCAATTTTTAAGTGGAACACGTGCTGTTCAAACTTTCATGTCTGAACATGAAAGACCAAGAATATTTTTGTGATTCATAAAACAGGTTTGTGCTACATTTAATGTAACTCTTAAAGATGCTATTAATAGTATCCGAAGGTGGCTGAGATATTTTTACTGTTAACGCCACTGAAAATGAGATGAGAGCTTTGAGAATTTTTTTTCATTTTAAATTTTTGATCACTATACTTCTGGTAGTCAAAGTGTATGTGTATATACTGATGGGAACATATTACTGGACTTAAATTGGGCAGTTTGGGAAAAGAATAGCAATGATTGCATAAGTACTTTTTTTCCCATGAACTATTGAGATAAAGCAAAGAGGTAAGACTAGATTGCTTTTTTTTTCTAAGAACAGATTTTTTTTAAAGATTTTATTTATTTATTTTTAGAGAGGGAAGGGAGGGAGAGAGACAGAGACAGAGACAGAGAAACATCAATGTGCGGTTGCTGGGGGTCATGGCCTGCAACCCAGGCATGTACCCTGACTGGGAATCAAACCTACGAAAATTTGGTTCGCAGCCCGCGCTCAATACACTGAGCTACGCCAGCCAGGGCTAAGACTAGATTTCTTAGATTTAAAAGTAAATGGCTCTTTCCCTTTTACTAACCTTGTCGTGCAATATGTACCACTTTATCAATGACTAATCTGTTGGAATTGAGGCTACTACAGTCAAATTTAATGTTATAAAAATACAGGTATGTTTTAAAATGTATCTATGCTAACGTTTTAAGAATTTATAGGTTTTTTAAATGTAGGCAGTTCTTTTTTTATTGTTTTTTAAAAATTAGCTGGCAAGTTTAAAATCTAAATAATTTATAATAATGAAGTGCTCCTACTTTAAAAAAGACATTGAAGTTATAAGTTATGATTGTAACACCTGTTATATTAAATCATATCCTTTATGTATTATTTTGACTTTATTTACAGGTCCTAATCTACCCATGGCAACAGTTGACACAAAAAATCCAGAAATCACAACCAATAGATGTGACGGTCCACCAGTCAACAATATCTCCCACACCAAGGAAAAAGAAAAGGAAAAGTCAAAAAGGGTAACCAAGGCAGATATTGGAACACCAAGCAACTTCCAGTAAGATAGTTCTTTTGTTGTTTTTAATCTTTATTTTTTATTTATTCATATGGCTTTTGATTTTTAACTTGTTACAAAACTTTATTTTCTTTTCAATAGGACCCTTAAATTTATCACTTACATATATTTTCGTTAGATTTTGTTGGAGTTTTATTTTATCTTCCTTTTAAAATGAGGTTTTATTGATTAGGCTATTATAGTTGTCCCAGTTTTCCCCCCTTCGCTCCCCTCCACCCAGCACCCCTTACTCCCTGAGGCAGTCCCCGCACCCTTGTTCATGTGCCTGCATCATGCGTAGGTTCTTCAGCTACTCCATTTCCTGTAACATGGGAGTTCTGTGCTCTTTTTTTAAAGCTATTGCTCAGTGGACTCTCTGTGAATCTTACAGTTTATTTACTTTTTCACTCATTAGAAAAGAAAAATTAGATAAACTTGTGTCTTTAATTTTTTGGACATAAAAACGATTTCTCTTTTCTCTAGAGAAAATGATATTTGGCAGTTGCCTAGAGGCATTGTCCTAGTCTGTCTGGGCTGCGGTAGTAGAGTACCATACACCGTAGACTGGCTGGCTTATAAACAACAGAAGTTTATTTTCTGCCGTTTTGGAGGCTGAGAAGTTGAAGATCAGGGCACCAGCAACATTTGGTGTCTGGTGAGGCCCCACTTCCTGGCTCACAGATGGGTGTTTTCTTGTCTTGGGGCCTCTTTTTTTAAAGGCATTAATCCCATTCATGAGGGATCCATCCTCATAATCATTTCCTGAAATTCTCACCTCTAAATACTGTCACATTGAGGATTAGGTTTTGACATATGAATATTCAAGAGACACAAACAATCTCTAGCAGGCATTATTTTATTAGCTCATTACAAAATTCGTCTCCTATGTATAATATTTATATCCATATGCTAGTTTGACAGTTACAGAAATGAACAGGCAGAAGGATTGTACAAAAAATGCTGATGAAGACTAAGCAGCAGAGTCTGGTCTAGAATCCTGGTCTCCTGACTGACCACTTGAGCAGTTTTTCCTTGAATATGGTTATGTGTCTGAGAGCTGTCTGTTAAGGCCAACAATTCACCGGGCGGATTGGATTTCATGTATGTCCTGTTTTTCATGCCCACTGTGATTTTTTCCCCACCTTCTACTTTAGGCACATTGGGCGTGTTGGTTGGGATCCAGATACTGGCTTTGATGTAAGTATCTTTTCAAGCCATCGGCGTTATTACTCTAAATATGTGGGTATGTTATAGCCTATCTTTAGATTCTTCTTTTCAGTTTATCTTTTGCTGAATTTTAGTGTTTATTTGAATGCGTTCATGTACATATACCACGGAGGTTTGACACCACGGTGTTGCTGTGTCATTCGTGGGGAAGCCTCTAAAGAGAAAGTTTTTGTATGCCTTGGCCTTAAGTACTGTATAAGTAAAGTCCTTGCATTTTTAAAGCAAAGAGGAGGTTATTTCTGCTCAGTCATTATTTCAGGGAGATACATACATGCCGAATTATGGAAAAGTACTATAATCAAATTCTGAATATCCAGTTGTTGAATTATCTAGATCTTTTCATTGTACTATTCTTTTTGGCAACTTCATCATTCATTAACTTATGGTACTGTGAGCAAACTGGATGGAACCTAAGGCAAAAAAAATGTTTTAACATTTTATCTCTATTTTGGTTACCTAATATGTATTTCACATTTGACAGATAGTCAGGATTTGGAAAAATTACTTTGAAAAGAAATATTTATTTTTCAGGTTAAAAATCCTTTTGCTTGTTTTGTTATAACTACAGAATCAACACCACAAACATTGAGTTCCTCCTTGTGTTGGGCACTGTACAGGGTCCTTAGGGTTACAGGTCTTGCCTTCAAATTTTCAAATGGATTTGTGGGGTGTTTTGGTATTTATTTGTGGTTACAACTATGTCTTATTTAGGATAAGGTGGAATAGTTGAGCTTTAAATATGTCTGAGTCATAAATGGGTTAGAAAAAAATCTAAATGAGATGCCCTGATTTCGAAGGCAAGGAATAAAAAGGAGATGAGATAAAATATAAAACCAATTCTTACCTTTTTTAAATAAGAAAGTTTAGTTAGCATATAATGTAACCATATTAAGAGTTTATAAACAAAATAATTTCATAAAGAGCACAAATAAGAATTACATTTTATTATGCTTGTTTTTCAAAATTGGGGCTTTATAGTTAGCAGTTATTTTATCTGTTGTAGCTGAATAATTTGGATCCAGTATTGAAGAGCCTTTTTGATATGTGTGGAATCTCAGAGGCACAACTTAAAGACAGAGAAACATCAAAAGTCATATATGATTTCATTGAAAAAACAGGAGGTGTTGAAGCTGTTAAAAATGAACTACGAAGGCAAGGTAACTTTTTCTTCTGTTTAGGAATTGTAATCTAGTTTCCCTTAATGAATGTTGAGGTCAATTTTCTGGAAGACAACTATACACACTGTTATTATGAACCTTCCTTAAACAAATGTTTGAATTTATGCAGAACTCATTTGGCCCAGTGTGCTATATTTTACATTATTTTGGTATAAATAAAGACTTGACAAAGTTTTGCTTGTTACTAAAATGCCTTACATTAAATTAATGAAAATCCATACAGAATTTTTTGGCTGCTCTATTTTAGAATAAAGTATAGTTGCCTAATATTTTACTTAATGAAACTTAAAGTTGTTTTTATTACAATTCAGAAGTAGTGATTTAAATATAATCACTGCCTACTCAGTAAAGTGTAAGCATTTTCATAATATAAATAACAAAAATATTTCTATTTATTTTGCAATACAAACATTTTTTTTCTTAGATAAAATAGAAAATTTGTCCTTTGGTACCTGAGAGCACAAATACTTTACCACCTTTTAAGTTCAAAGCACTTTGTATTTTAGATTATCCTAATAATTTTCAATCAAATATGAATACAGTAAGTCTAAGTCCTCTGACAGTCGTTCCTTTGCCACCTTATTTGTCTGGTGCTGCTTTATTTCTTTGTTTTTGCATACTCATAAGAACAGCTTAGCAATGCAAAAGCTCTAGCTAATCAATTCATTCTTCGGAAGAAGTTATGTCTCATTTTAACTTAGGTATTTGATATACCTGAATCTTTCTCACTGCTGATGTTCATTTACTCTTTGATTGGTTCATTCATCCTTTCATATATTCAGTAAGTATTACTATGCCGGTACTAGTCACTACCCAGGATGTTGGAATGCATGGTTTCCGGCCTCAGAAATCTGATGGCCTCATCTAGAAACAGCTATCTAAACAGGTATTCAGTCATAATTACTGTCGTGGAAACAGAGTGCTAGTTCCACTGAAACCAGTATGGTGCCAATTTTTCTTATTTTGTGGAAAAATTACATTTTCAAATTGTCTGGACTGTTGGTAAAAACATCTTGAGCACGGTACCATTGTTATAAATGCTCCCAGAGGAAGTCACAGTTAGATGATTGAAGGTCTTGAGGACACTCGTGTGTGTTTCTTGACTCTCTTTTTCTCCACTCTTACCCCTCACCTTCACTTTATATACCACCACATGCTCAGGGGCTCTCTGAGTTCACTGCCTTTGTAAGTGTGCATTATTGGTGCCATTTGTTAGACCATTCATAGCACTACCTCTCACCTGAATACTTGTAACTAAGAGTTGACTATATTAACCTGACTAGGTTTGTTTTTTTGAACTTGATTATAGCTGTTTGTCCTTTTAGCTGTTTTTAAAGCATCAAAAGAAGTGATGCCTTTCCCAGTGGAATTACCTAAAACAACAACAACAAAAAGACCCAGTCATTAAAAAACAGCATCGGAAACCAAGTTAATTATCACATTTAAGAGCCTGATCCTAGTGTGGAAACTTTTAGACACCAAACAGTGATTTTTATAGAAGATAAAAAAAATTTTTTAAGGAAAAGTAACAAAGATACTTCCTTTTAATGACGAAAACCTGTCTAGGCAGAACATAGAATGTTTTTAGAAGTATGAAAAAATTAGAAGTTAACGATGTTGTCTGTAAAATCTATTGAATCAAACCTCTTAAAACTTAATTTTATAAAATTATGTAATCAGATTTCTAAAAAGCACCAGACTTGTGATTTCGAGTATATGTTCTTTGTGTGTACCTGTGCAATTGCCTGAAGTCCGTTAACTCTTAATCATTTGCCCTGTAGGTACCCTCCAGTGGAGTGGTATGTATGTGCCATGTCATTTGACCCAGTGCACTACATTGTGCATGGTGCGATGTGTTTATTTTCAGAGAAGCTGGAGTTCATTTGTCCTGCCACCAGATCGAACATCCAGTGAGATTTTCTGCCCTTTACTCAAATCGATGTTTCGGGCCTAGAGATGCTTAAAGTAAAAAGAAAATTTGTTTCTGTAAGGGTCAGAGCTCGTATTTTGTCTGTAATTTAGATAATTTTATCCCAGGGCCCAGCATCTCATTAGTTAACCCTCAAGAAATTACAAATACATGTAATAAGTATCGCCCATTTTGCTGATAAGTTTAAAGAACATTGGGGGGAAATAGTGGTTTCTAAATTCCTGGCTCAAAACAACGAAACAGGTTCACCTGAGTATACTTTATACTAAATCATACATATAGTTCAGGCTACAGGTGAATTATAATAGCTCTTTCCCAAATATATTTATTGGGCAGAGAATGAGTGGTAACTAGAATGGTTCATCTTGAGACTAGTGTATTCTATAACTGAGACACTGTCTTTTTGAAACCATAGAAGATAGTCACGTTGTTTCAGGAAGAGCAGACAGTATCATTGAGTGAGCAGGCTGTGCTAGTCCTTCAGCACAGCAGACCAGAGGAACTGGTGGTAGGTCAGTAAGCAAGTCAAGGACTCTTGGCAGCTTCCACTTGAATGTTTCTTGTTACCTTCCTTGGGATGATGCCCCTTCAGTGGTATGCAGAATAAGGGTCTTCCAAGGACATCCATACCCCAGTCCCCTGGAACCTGTGACCATGTTACCTCACATGGCAAAAGAGACTTGACATTTGTGTTCAAGGCTATGGACCTTGAGATGGGGAGATTATCCTAAATTATCTGGATGAGCTCAGTCTAATCACAGGTCCTTAAAAATGTAGAAACTTCTCCAGCTGGGATAAAAAAAAAAGGAGAAGGAGAAGGAGGGAAAATTCAAAGGTAAAAAATGACTCAATCTAGCATTACTGGCTTTGAAGGCGGAGGAGAGTGCCAAGAGCTCAAAAATGTAATGACTTCTAGAGGCTGATTTCCAGCCACAGCCAGCCAGAAAATAGAGATCTCATTGCTACAGCCAAGAGGAAATTAACTCTCCCAACAACCCAAATGAGCAAGTGAGGATCCTCCCCTAGAAATGAAGGTAACCCTGATGGCACCTTGACTTTGGCTTCTCGAGACCGATGTTAGACTTTGATCCACAGATAAGAAGATGTATAAGACAATCAATTTGTTGTTTAAACTACCAAGTCTTTTTGTAATTTTTATGGCAGTAATAGAAAACCTCTTTTTAACCCTCCCATAGCTGTGCACAGTCTCCCGAATAAAATTCAACTCCCCTGGACTTGTATACAGACTGATGTGGTATGACCCTTCCTTCCTCTTACACAGCCACTGTGCCACCCTTAGCTGCACTGGCTGCTTCACAAGCATGACAGTTCCTTTCGAACTGCACTTCCCGTTTCCTCTGCTGGGAATGCTCCTTTTTTCTAATTTCTAACATGGGTGCCTCTATCTTGTTCTTCAGATTGCAGCTTTAATTAAACAGTGCCCTTCTCAGGCACCTTTTCTGTCTACTTTCTAACATCTGTTTTAACTTTCACATTTTGCATAGTACATATCACATTAATTTTTTTCTCGTGTGCATAGTTTCTCTATCTCCAACTTGAACAAGAGTTCTGTGAGTGCAGAGACTTTGTGAGTATATCCCCAGTGCCAAGGATATGTGAAAATTCATACCAAGTTCAAATGACATTACAGTTGTCCACAGAGACAAGAGCTAGGCAAAAAGAGGCGTGAAAGCATGAAAATGGTTTGAGAATCATTAGCCTACACTAAGTGCAGTCTTTGGAAAGATCTAAATTTGGCTTTTTAAAAGATGAGTTCTGGTTTACAGCACTTGTCATTGCCTGTGGTGCACATACTCCCACCATGGCAAAATTGAACCTACCAACCTGACATCACAGAATGCAAAACTGAAACTGGAGTATCCCGCCATTACACATTGTGGAACCATGCTGTGCAGGAGTACATCATCATCACGTAATGTTTTCACTTACAGATACAGTAGATGTGAATAACCTCAAGACACGAAGTAACTGATACATGATATGCATGTATTACTTTGTTTTAATGTACTTTATTGTGTTCTAAGTTTTTATAATTTAATTTTTTAATAGTGGCTGTGTTGAACAACCAGTTCACAAAATTTGTGAATATTTAACAATCATGTCTCATGAACTCAAACCAATAGCCAATAGCCGGCTTTATCACACCAGTGGATCTAATAAAATACAGTGGAAAGCAATGGTTTGCTTACATTTGATAACAACTGTTTCAGGTTCATTCTAGTCATTGAAACTAAATTTGCAATGACCAGTGTCTCAAGTGGTTAGGGGACCCCAGGAAATGTGACAAATAATCCATGACTATTGATACAAATGACATCGAAAAGGAGAGAAAGTAATAGAACTAGAATTCAGAATCATTATACAATGGGAAATATAGCAGAAGTACATAGAACAGAGTCCACAGGGGCAATTAAAAAGGAATACAATTAAATCGAAAATAGGTTCATTAAGGTTGAAGGATTGTCCCTGTACAAATAATATCGACGACAGTCTGGGCATCTTGAGAGAAGAATGTGAGCCTAAGATGAAAGCGAAAGTTAAAGAAAACTGTGAAAATTACATAATACGTCACACCATCCTACTGATAGGGGAATGCCTGATTCATTCCTCATCATAGTAAGGTGGAGTCCTCAGTTCTAAAAGAAAAAAAGGAAGTGTAGTAGAAAGAATTTATAAGTGGTCCATTGTAACCTAAAATAGAGCCCTCGAGAAAGGCATTTATAGATCTGGGAAAACAACTAATGAAAATTAGAAGTATATGTAGATGAATTATAATTTTTAAATAACTCCCTGACATATGAAAGATTTTGCAAATGGAACATGTATACCTTTCTGTGAACTTATATTTTATGTTATTTCTCTTTATTGATGACCAAACTAGAGACAATAGAATTCTACCAAGCAGGCAAAAGGGTTCAGATTACCCTGAAAGTATTTCACAAAAGTGACTTCTGTTAAGTGCTTTTGTAAGTGAAGTAAAAATATGGCTACTCTTAGAGTACAGTCTCTTCTCTCTGAGCCCTAGGATAAGACCTCTGGGCCATGAACTTTATTAGACATTCTCCAAAGCACCTACATCACTATTTCCACATCCCTCAGATGTGAAAAAGTTCAGCTCCAACTCAATAGTACCCCTGTGACAGCTTTTCTCCTGCTTTGAGATAAGAGTATTAAAGAGGTTGGAGATAAGGCACTGATGAGGAGAATTGAACAAGGCTGAAAATAAAGACAGGAAATGATTAGGCTGTGATAATTAAAAGCTTTTGGAGCTAACCAAAATGCACTAAGAGAAAAGGAATAAAACAGACCCAGACAGACCTTTTTTTTCTCATAAAAGAGTATTACTTAAAATTGACACGACTAAATATAACCTGTGGAAAACAAAGAAGGGTTCCTTTTTCTCTCCCTTAGGGAATGTTTGAATAATTTACTAACTTGTTCAAAAAGTAATTCCCAGTTGCCCACATACACCTATCCCACTTTCTTCCCTGCTGGCCCTCACCAAACCACCCCTAAAGTCTTTCCCATCTCAGAGATAACGCCTGCAAGCCAAAAGCCTAAGAATCATTTTAACATTTTAACTACTTCTCTGATCCATCTATCTTGCCAAACCCTCAGCCAATTCTCTCAGTTCTACTATT